TTAGCCATCAATTTAACAGCTGTTTTACTTAACTCTGGAATTGTCTTTGAGTTTTATAAACTAGATATGTGCATTGCTTTCTAATCAGAAATGTCTCTTGATATACTTGTGTAAGGTCATCATAGGCTTCAATCATTGAATACTTACGGGCAATGTTTAATGCCTATCTCTTAGGATTTGACTCCAATGGCCCATTTTATGTTCCGTATATTCAATGTAAAAACTATTGCTGTGGTTTATATTCTTTTCTTGTTTTATGTTACTATTGAATATAATCTTTTATCTGCTGTAAGACTATAAATACATCTGAGCTTTTGAATTTCTTTGTCAGAATTGTGTGCCATGTGGGGATCAGGTCTCAAAAGAATCAATGTCTCCACTTCAAACCTTTCTTTACTGTTTGAGTTTTAGAGTTTTCTGTGTTTGAATCCAGGGATGGTCAAAATCACCTTCCAAATTAGTTGAATTTTGATTGTTTGGGTTCAAAGGCTTCTCTGTTATCCACATTTTGAAGAGAAGATGTTATTGAAATGTGCTGTAATAGATGATGTGTATTTGTCTGTATGTGTATGTGTAGGGGTCACTTTGCTGAGCAGCAGTGATTGATTACCCTGTATTTTTTCCCCAAAAAGTTTTAAATTTTCCAAAAAAAGTGAAAAAATATGTAAGCATAATAAGTGAAGGTAAATGTTAGCCCCCATTGAGAAAGCAAACATCTATTTAAATTTGCCCCTAGACTTTGTGGACTTGAATAAGTCTACTTTATCTGTACCAGTAAATGCTGCCCAAACCACTCATTTAAAAAATAAATAAATGCTCTGCCACCCTTCCTAGTTACTTTTCATTGATATTAAATCTTAAAAAAACACACAACAACTATGGTCCTGTATTTTGGAGTGTTTACAACTCCACTGAATTCTTTGGAAGGCCCCGAAGAAGGCCTTTTCTCATTGTGGCTGAAATGCGTTGGGCATGTGGAGCTCATTTCCTCATTATTTTCTGCTTTACGATATGCTTTTCAGTACTCTTTTCATTACTAAAAAAACCCCACAACCACAACCACTGCATGTATGAACCTTTTATATTTTATGTATAAAGTGGGTAGCATGCTTAATGTTAGTTGTTTGTAATCAAACTCCATTTCATCTAAATATGGGGG